CCTCACAGACATCATCAGTCAGTAGCAGATTATTTTTAAAAATGAAGCACCCTCTGAGCTATTTTTAATATTTTATTATATAATTATATAATATTTTATTATTTTATTTTAATATTCAAGGTAAGAAAGACTTCAAAACAACCTTTATCCTGAGTGCCAAATATCCTCTTGGTTGACCACCTTGTCTTCCATCTTCTCCTGTTCTTGAAGACCCATGCTACTCTCCCTTCCACCACCCCTCCTTCCCTAGGCATTTCACTTCTTTTCTCGAACTCCCTTCTCCAATCTCGAACTCCCTATCTTCTCCAATGTCCTTGCCAAGAAATGGTTTGAAAATGGCTGTAGGGCCAAGGGCAGAACTTTGTAAGTTCATAGGCACAAAAGTAGGGAACATTATGTCTCCCAACCTCCCTCTTTATCAGCTCAATACTTATCCTTTAAGTCACAATGAGATAACAAATATGTCTTAATTCAAGCTTGTCCTATAAGAATGTCCTGTGGATATGAGGGAGTCTCTAGGGGTACAAATCATTACATTTTTGATGCGCTCAGCTGCTAACCAAAAAGCTGGAAGATCAAGTCTACCCAGAGGCATCATGGAGGAAAAGTGTGGAGAACTACTTCCCAAAAAATCAGCCATTGAAAATCCGTGGAAAAGTTCTTTTCTGACAAAATTGGGTGGGCATGAGTCAGAGTGGGATCCAAGCAGCTAGTTACATAGAAGAGGGCGTGGAAGGAATGATGTTAAAGTATTTTCAAAACCGCAAGTGAGATTTTGGTCTCCAAAGAACTGAAGATCTATGAACTACATTTTCCTGTTAAATCCTGGCTAACAGTGTCTTCATATAGAACTTTTTTACCTCCTTCTATTTGATTTTTTAAAATCCTCTTCATCTTCATTAAGGATCCCAACTTAACTACAAACAGAACCCTCCACATTACCATCCTTCTTTTAATAATTAAAAAAAAAAAGGAGATTTCAATTCTGAGGTCAGTTTCAATTACTAACTAGCCCTAAAGACTTACTAACATTTCTTGAAAGTATATCTTGCAATTAACCCCTGCCTTAGAAGTATCATGCCCTGGTGTGACCATATGTATGTATCATTTGTCATTTCATTTGTTCTGAAAAGTGTG